ACCTATCTCCCTCTGCTACAACACACAAATACCTAATAGAGACTGTTCCTATTTAAAAAAAAAAAAAGCTACTTTTTTCTTATTCTTCTCAAAGGTGATGACAGTAACCCCATAAATGTCAATTAATAACCTTTGTCACGGACCAATGGTGGTGTGAGGGTGATTCAGAACAGAAGTATATGAATTCCAACTCATACCTTTATGATCTTAAGAAATTGGGTTTCATGCAAAAAAAACACTCCTGCATTGTTCTAACTTTATATACTACGAATTAAATCACCTGTCCACATGATTGATCTTAATAATTACATATCATTCAAAAAGAGTTCAATGCAGTAGAGACATGCTAAGAGTAATGATGGTTGATGCATAGACGTCTAAAAGAAACAGGTAATACACCTTTATAACATCTCCCCTGCTCTATCGGTCTCCTCACCCTCCCCCTTAAATAATCTCCCTTCCCCTTATCTTTCTTTTACTTTGGGTTGAACTTGAGTTTAATAACCTTGAGCATGCTAAGCAAGGGCTCTACCTCAGAGGTGTATCCACAGTCCCTTCCCTCTCCCGAACTTCAAGAAAGTTTGATTTTGAGGCAGGGTCACTACCTTGCCCTGGCTAACTTCAAACCTGCGATCTTTCTCCCTCTACTGAGTAGCTGTGATTCCATATATGTGCCCTCATCACTGGCTCTGTTACAGGTCTTCACGTAGAAATTGAAAACAGTTAGGACAGCTCATTTTAATTTGATGGGGTAATTGTATTCCATTGGGTCTCAAAGTAAGAAATTGCTGGCTTTTATGTCTTCGTCTCGTTTGTGTATGTGTGTGTGTGTGTGTGTGTGTGTGTATGTTACTCAAACTTATGACCTTAGCCTCAGAGAGTGTTGGATTTATAGCAACGTACCATCATGCCTGCTTTTTTTTTTTTTTTAAATTTCATTTTTGGTTAATTAATTTTTTGGTATCTTACTTTGCTAATTTCTCCATGACAAACTGAGGGAAAACTAGGCTCTCAGCACCAGTCGTTTGAGAAACACTATTTTAGAATGTTGTATAACTGATAAAGTAAATGGAAACCACCTTTATATACATTATTTTTCTCACCTGGAACACAGTTTTAACAACAACCTCTGATCATTAGGGCTAGAAATAAGAATTAAGGAAAGACCCTTGAAATGTGAAGAAAGCAACATATATTCTTCCTGTTCCTTCTTTCTTCAAGTTCCTGCCTGTGGAAGTAGCCTGCTCAACATTAGTTTGCACTATTGCTAAATAAAAAAGTCTTGAGATGCCATTCTGAGTTACAGGACCCTACGACACAGTTCCTGTCTGTGATAGCCCCTCGGTGAATGGTCCATCAACATGTAACCTTCCTCTAGAATCAGGCTGCCTGATCTCACCCTAAGGGTTCATTTAGCACTGACTTGTGTGAGGGAACCCACATTTGATTTTTGATCTGCCTTCACCTTTGAGTGTAGTTACTTCAGCATCATAGCATGGACCTTTTTCAGTATGTTTCTTTTGCTTTCCTAAAGCTGTTAAATTTCTGCAGGCCTCAACAGCTAAAGTATTTTGGACTTTATTATTACTAGAAGTTTTTATTATTTTGAGGACAGGGTAAAATGACCTGTCACACAGACTGAAACTTTGCTTCAATAAGAGCTGTCACTTAAAGTGCTATCTTATAGTGTAAATACAAACGCATGCCATCTTTTCTTGTCAAGATAGTGAAACAATTTTTTAATGGTCTTTTGATTAAATTTCAAAATTAAAGATCTCTACCCTTTCAACTATCAACTTGATGGCCAAAGAAAGTAGGTGGTCATTCCCAAGAATAAGTGCTTAATAGAGCATGATTCAAAAAAGTTTTCAATTCATTTTTTAATTACAGTATAGTGCAATAGAGAATATGAAGCTTTATAATTCAACTAACATGGGTTTAACTCGGGGTTTTGTGTTTAGTTGCTAGACCCTTCAGGTGAATCCTTCCTGTATTTGAGTCTGTTTTCTAATCTGTAAATCAGGGCTGTAAAATCTACTACATAGTGCAATTATGAAGATTAACTTAGATAATGTATAATGAGATAATGTTTGTCCATAATAGGTGGCCAAATACTATGGGCTCACTTTTCTTTATGTACTTTGTATACCTCACTAACTTCTTTAAAATTATCAGTAACTTTAACAGAGCCTCCTTGAATAGAATCAGACTTCACAATAGAATAATAATAATCCTTCAGTATTTGTTTTAAAATAGGCATTGGTTTGAAAACGTGACTCTTTCCAAAGTCAGACATTCCTTAACCCTCTTCATGCTACTTGAAACTTTTGCTTTAGTATGAATAACTTTCTTAGGCATGTGACTTGGCTCATTCTTATGTTTAGTCCTTGTGTGGGCAGCCTTCTTGGAATGACCTGATGCTTCCCTGAACTCCATATTCCTTTAAAATTGTTCAATATTCATGTGGTCCACGAACTGGCAGAAAGGAATTTTGTAGCAGTCTGTCAGTGACAGTTACTCCTGGGGAGCTGTACTAGTCCCCCTTTAGCATATATTCTTGGGGTAATTTCCTATACCTTTCCCATATTTTCAGATTTTTTTCCCCTTTTCAGATGAGACAGTAACATTTTATTGTGTAAGATGAAGACATTTAGAATGACAGAGGCTGTCAGTAGCTCAAGATAACACATTTGTGGCCAATTTTAATAGGTTTAAATAGGTAGACTGGTTTTCTTGGTTTTTAGTTTGGTGTTTGTATTTCACAACCCTTCTGCATGTAGCAGGGAGATGGTACTGGTGGCTGGCAGATTTGGAAATCTCTAAAAGTAATAGCCGATGAGGAGCTTAGGGTGAGATGAGAGATGGCAGCAGGGTGGAGGAGGTAAGGGAGGGAGAAAGGATGCCTCCGAGAAACCTATTAATGACAACAACTTCACATTATAAGAAAAAAAAAAAAAAGAAACCAATTATATAACAAAGCATTTTTGTTCTGCTTCTATTTTTGTGTGTAGTAAATAACACCACAGTTAATGCTAATGAAGATTATACCTCCACTTTTCTTCCAGCACCAATTCTACAACTACCTACTGGATTTGAGTCAAAATAGTAGACTGGCAACCTGTTAAAAATAAAAACAGAAAAACAAACCTGGCATTTTCCTTAAGGGTTGTGAGGGTGAACACAGGACAAGAGCCAGAAAGCAGAATCGCTATAAAAAGAGCTGGTGCAAACCTCCTTAAACTGATGTTTTCTATAAAAGTCTGACGGCCAAGAATTGGAAAGAGTGAAGTTGAGAACGGGTAAAGGAACGGGGGAATTGCGTGGTGCCTGCTTATTGTCAGCTAGCTTTCATGTGAAAGTCATGGCAGGGTCAGCAACAGACTAGCCAAGTGGCAACTCCAGGCCATGCTGCCATAAATAAATAGTTATGTACTAATGTCACACAACCAGAGATAGATGCAAAGCATATGGGAAGAAAACATTCTGATGTAAATATTCAGACAAGAATGATGGCTGCTGAATTTAAAAGCCACTGTTGTTCTTGCACTTTGAGAAAATAGAGCGATACAACATTTTCTAGAAATCCCAACTATAAGAATCTTTGAAATGTAGACTATTTCCTAAAGACACAAAAACAAAAAGAACGCGGATCTTTGGCTTAGGAGGGTGTGACAATTTGATGTAGTAATTAAACATTACTGAGAGTTAGCAAGACCAGGGACTCTGGAACCAAATTTCAGGAGTTTAAAGCTTTGCCCTGATACTCATTCTCAGGACAAGTACTGGGAAGCTCTTTAACCTTTCATACTTTAGTTCAGTCACTACAAGAGAGGAGAGAGATGATAATGGAAATAGAGTCTGCCTCACAGGAAGTTATGAGGATTAAGTCCACCTGCAGAGCTCCTAAAACAGTATCGAGTCAACACCCTGTCCATTGTTGTCAAGTGGCTTATTTATTTTATAAACGGACTATTTGCTGGACACCATGTAATCCTTTACTTGAACTACTCTATTTAATCTTAAAAACAGCTCCGTGGATTAAAATTTAATTTTATAAAACACACTAATCAAAGCTTTTAAGGATTAAGGAATTTATCCGAGGAAGAATATCTAAATTACACTTCCAACCCAGGCTTCAGTCATATGAAAAAATTTTAAAACCACTTTACACGTTCTCGATGACCTAACCATTTTTTCTTCCTTTTTTACTTAAAATATTAAGATTTGAAGAAAAGAAACATAAGGGACTATTAAGAATCAAAGGGATTTTTTTAAAAAGGGAATTAAAGGAGGGGCTGATAAATTGCCTGAGGAGAGCTGAAACCCATTCGCACACGTAGAAAACCAAAGACTGACTCCGTGCTTCCTTTCTGCAAACATTCACTGGCGTCTATTTTTCGGAGCGCTAGGGTGTTGCTTTAGGTCCTGGGGCATCCAACTGTAGGGAATGAAAGTGATATTCTTTACTGTTGGTTGCTTGTCCCAAGGCGGAAAGCGCGGTTCCGAGGCGCGCAGCGCCCGCAGCAGCCCCGCCGCGGGCCACCCGCGCGACCCCGCCCGAGCCGCCCGAAAGCGCGCGCGCCGGCACACGTTCGAATCCCGCGCTGCGGCAGAGGCTGTCGGGGCTGGAGCTGACGCTGAAGCTGGCGGGCGACCCCGTGACCCTGGCCCCAGGCGCGCGCTGGGCCTTCCTGGCTCCCAGCAGCGGGCGGAGGGGGAACACACGAGCGCCTCGGCCCATCCCGGGTGGGCGAGGCCGCGGGGCACCGCCGCGCAGACGCCGGCGCCCCCGACCCGGCCGGCCCGCCGCCGCTTCCTGGTTGGCGTGCCCTTACCTGACATGGCGCCCGACGCCTTCAGCCGGGCCCTCTGCGGCTGCTCAGTACACACCGGTCGGGCAGCGCGCACTACGGCCCGCCCCCGCCACGCCACGGTGGTTCCCGGGGGTGCTCGGGACCCTGAGTGTCTCCGTCACGCCTGTGCGGCTAGGAAGGTGCTTCTAGGGGGACAGACTAAGGGAGTCAGGGACCCAGACGTGCCTCTCCTTGCCCACGCCCCTCGCCCGCCCGCCCCAGGGCTGCTCCAGCCCCGGCGGGCTTTTCCCTGACCCTGTCACCGCCGGTCCTTGGCCCAACATGATTCTGACCAAAGCCCAGTACGACGAGATAGCCCAGTGCCTAGTGTCCGTACCGCCCACCAGGCAGAGCCTGAGGAAGCTGAAGCAGAGGTTCCCCAGGTAAGTGGCCCTGCTGCTCCCCGCACGGCCCCTCGCCGCCCGCGGCGGCGGCTGGTCTGGGCAGCCCGTAGAGCCACGTGTCGCTCGCTCGCCAGAGCGTGGGGAGGAGCACGAGTTTGAAGGGTTAGCAGGTCAGGGATGGTGGGAGAGCGCGCTTCCTTCGCCTGCTTTGCACACAGAACGCCTAATGGCTGAGTCCCTTGCAGCTTCCCCAGGCCTTGCAGTTGCATTCTAGGCAACCCACGTTTGTGGAAAACTTACTGGGTGTTTGGGTGATGGGTGCACAGAGGTGTCCAGTGGTTGACAGATACTAGCAATGCGTGCTGGGTGGCAGGGTCTTCGCCGAGTGAAGACAGGAGTTGCAGGGTCAGAAGGGGTAAGTGGAGGCCCCTTTTCAGTTGGCCGCTGGAAATAAACCAGGGGACGCAGCCTGAGGGGCTAGTACTCTTGACTGACCACAGTGTGGACTGCAGTTCAATGCCTCCAGGGTTCCTAGGCCAGAGAGAGACTAGATCGACTCTGTGTTGCTCCTGAGCTGTCTACACAGTCTTGATGTATTTCATATTTGTCTCCTCCCCTAATCACTGCCTTTTTTTCAATAATTGTAGAATTAACCATTTTTAAGTAAAGACTGTAGAAATTAAATAGATTCCTCACTTTAAAGATGTGAAGACTGAAACCCACATGTTACATGGATATACAGTTCAAGACAACTAAGTTCTTATATTTATGCTGTGTTCCAAGTACAAAATGTTTGCATACTTTTTCAGATTCAAAACTAAATCCCAACCTGTACATTTAGTTTCATGATATTGAGCATGATTATCCCTAGTGGAGAGCTATGATGTGCAACCCTTTACCAGAGACACCACCATAGACATTATTTATATTTAAGGGAAGAGAAGTGATTGGATACTAGATGTTAAAATACACATTGAGGCTAAGGTGAAAGGTCCTTTAATTACCTGGTTTTTTGGTATACTGTAACTGAAGAGATCTCTCTTCAGTATTATCCAAGTTTAATTTAGAGCAATGTTTATCTCATCATAGTCTTTAGGATGTTAATGGACTTCCTAACAAGGAACAAAACTGACAAGTTGGAATATAATTTTCCATCGTTCATTCCAGCTGGTTCTTTCATGAGCAGTAAAGTGGGTGAAAGCTGGACATCCAGGAAGAACCTTAGATTTTTACTGGGCTAGTTTAGAACAGAGCATACATTTTCGGTATTTTGTGCTCCTTGTGTAAATCCATGGTTACTTTGTAGTTTTGAGTCCTTTTCTCTTCCACCCACTCGTTTTCTTTTTTTAGTTTTAACCTCCTCAGTGGTCTTATCAAGGGCTTTAGAAGGGCTTCCTGCACATGGAACATTATACAGTCAGAACATTATACAGTCGGGCTTACTCTCTTTTGCTCTTTACTTTACTTTTCAGGATAGGCCAAAATATTTTTCTTCGTACAGCAGTTAACCACTAGGAAGAATGTATGCAGTGTGTTAACTATTGAAACTGCCCTACCAATTTGGTTTGGAACTGTCTCATTGCTATTTGTTTCTCAATAAAATTATGGAAAAAAAAGAAAAAAAAAACCCAAAATATTTTTCTTCCAAATACAGTACCATTCAGGAACAACTCTCTTGCTACAGGGAACATTACGTAGAACCCAAACTAATTTTAAGAAGAAAGAATAAAATGAGCTGTTTAGTAGGTTGGGTCAGAATTTTATAAATAATATGATTTAGAGTTGCACAGTTTTCATGATACCACTGTTTTACTTTATATGAATGTTGCAAAGATCTTGAACAGCTTTGAGATCCCATAGTTCATTTTGTCAGAGATTTAGGTAAGGATCTCAGATACTTTCTGGTAGTTCAGAGAGGTTGAATAACATAAAAAACCCCAAAGATGTTCAATGACCAAATAGTGTCTAGAATGTGGATTTTTTTTTCCATGCCTTAGTTCAGAGTTCTCTATGAGGCTGCCTTAATTATTATTATTATTATTATTATTATTTTTTGGCAGAACCGGGGATTGAACTCAGGCCCTTGTGCTTGCCAGGGAAGCGCTTATTCTACTGAGCTACCTCCCCAGCCCCTATAAATGATTTTTTTTTTTTTTTTTTTCCCGGAACCGGAGATTGAACTCAGATCCTTGCGTTTGCCGGGGAAGCACTTATTCTACTGAGCCATCTCCCCAGCCCCTATAAATGAATCCCCCCCCCCAACTGGGGATTGAACTCAGATCCTTGGGCTTGCTTGGGAAGCGCTTATTCTACTGAGCCATCTCCTCAGCCCCCTGCCTTAATTATTTTTAACAATAACAGTAGCATTTATTGTTTGGTTGATGCCCTTTTTAAAAAAGTATGAAAGTATCCTTGTACATTTTTGCTTTGTTTTATTTGGGTCTTTGTTGTTATTGTTTTGAGACAGGGTCTCACTGTGTAGTTAAGACTGGCCTTGAGCTCACTTTGTAGCCCAGGCTGGCTTTGTACTCCTAGAGGACCTCATGCTTCACCCTCTATAGGGCTGGGATGACAGGAGTGCACTTCTATGCTCAGCTAACCTTTTACTTCCCCTCTTCAATAGATTGTAAATCTCATCTTTAAAAAGTTTGCCAGGCTTTGTAGGGCAGGCCTGCAATCCCAGCACTTGGGAGGCCCAGGCGGGAGGATCATGAGTTCAAGGCCAGCCTGGACTACAAAGTGAGGTCAAGGCCAGCCAGAACTGCATAGCAAAACAAAACCCTATCTCAGAAAACAACAACAACAAAAAGTCTTAGGAGTTTGTTTCAAAAAGCCAGTAGTATCACATTCTAGATGTACTAAGCAGTTGCTATTGTTGCGTTCAAGGGTTTTGTTTATGTAGTATTTTATGTAATTGATTTTAGCCTATGTGCAAAGTTAGGTCTGCTCCTTTTCTTCCTGTAGACTGCTAGAAGTTGAGCATAACTGAATCATAAGTTCTCAAGCCTAGTTGGTCTTCATATCCTCTTAAACTCTTAAAAAAAAAGTATTGAAACTTCAAAGAACTTTCATTTATGCTGGTTGTATCTATAGATACTTGCCAAAATATGAACTAAAATGAGAAATTTTTAAAAATTTACTTGTTAATTTCTTAAACTAGGAACCTCATTATTTGCTACCAGGTTTTATGAATAATAACTGTAATTTTAAAAAAAGGTAAGCAAATGATATTGTCCTAAACTTTTGTGACTTTTAAGTGTCTTTACTTAATAAAAGACAACATAGCTACTTCTGAACTCAACTTGTTGAGTGCCCTGCCCCCACCTCAGAATTGAACCCAGGGCTTAATGGATGAGGTACATCCCTAGCCCAATGTGTTGTTTTTGATTATGCAATGATAGTCAACCTTTTAGAGCTTGCAAACAGAGCACAGTGGCACGCATAGGTTCACCAATCCTGGATTATGGAATATCAAGAAACCCTAGCCTCAGATACACAGTTGGAGAACAGTAATTTAATATGCTTTTGAGATAGCTGTGGATATTTTTGTTTTTACAGAAACTCCAGCAAATGATATTTTCTTTAAGGTTAACTGCACGATGGAACCTGAAATTCTATTAAGAAACTTTTTTGACTGGTTGAGGTGGTATAGCCTTTGGGAGGCTCATGCAAGATGATCTCTGCAAGTTTGAGGCCAGTCAGAACTGCATAGCAAGACCCTGTCTGGGAAGGAAAAAAAGAGCCTGTTCACAGTTTCATAGTCCACTGGCCTATTTTGGACTTTAAATGGATCTTCACACTGAGTCACATCCTTTTCTCTCTTTATTTATTTATTTATTTATTTATTTATTACACATAATCTTACTAACCCACTAATTTGCCCAGGCTAGGTTTGAACTTGTGATCCTCCTGCCTCAGCCTCCCAGAGTGCTGGCATCATAAGCGTGTATTTCCACATCCAGACTGTATGTGATTCTTATTGTCATGTGTTCCTGATTTACAAAATAGTTGTGAACTGTGCAGATCTTCCAAATGTTGTCACCTTATATTATGCAATATAAAAAATTGCATTTGTTAATAGCACCACTGATCTTGTCAGAAGTCTGTATGATTTGAAGTTGTCAAACTTAGGGTGATGGATATGAGCTTTCCGAAATGTGAATTTTCCCTTGAAAGCTCAAATTTTACTGTTGGCAACAAATGCTACCAGTTGTTTTCCTTGAAGTGACAGGCTCACATCATTTATTTTTGAGAAAATGTCTGCAATTATCCAAATCTGAATAATCATACTTTGTTCATTGTTCATTCAAGTAGGAATTGTCTTCCATGAAAAAAGTGGCTAGTTTAACTCTCAAAAAATCAAGTAGGTGCTTTCCCGGAGATAGCTATTGTACTTTGATGTGCAGTAAGTGTCCTTTGTATTTTCTGATTTTAATTAGTAAGTATTTTAAAGAGAAAAGTCTTTTTTGTTTTTTCTCTCTTTTTTTTTTTTGCTTGCAAGTGTGTGGGGATGAAGAATACAGTCATTGTGAATATAGTTATGGTATACTTATTGTGCATATGAACAACGTAAGTGTACAAATGTCAATAAAAGAGGAAAGGTAAATGAAATTTTGCTTTTTTTATAAAAATAGTTCAATCTTACAGACCCCTGAGCGGGTCTCAGGGACTCTACTAGCCCATTGACCACACTTTGACATCCACTCACCACTTGCAATGAAAGGGTATTTGTGTTGTGAAGGATTTTGATTCGTATTGACAAATTACTACCAAAAAAGATTGTACTGATCCTGTTACCAGCAGAGCTGTGGAGTGCCATCTCTGCAATTTTTGCCAGCATTAAGAGGAGTCTTATTGTTCTTTAATATGTTGAATCAAGAATGACATCTTTTAATTAGCATTTTAAAAGTTATAATTGTACATTTTTCAACAGTTTTGAACACTTAATTTTCTACTTGAATACCTGTCTTTTATTTTTAATTTAGTATATGGTCTAACTACACAGATCAGACTCATAGTGATCCTCCTGTTAGCAGTCT